GCTAAAGATCCAATTACAGATGCATTGATGTAGAAGTTATTTAACAGCTAAACACAAAAGCAAACCACACACTATTATTTGATGGTGTATTGTATTTTTGTAATCATACGCAAGAGTATATTAGTAAGTAGATTAACGCAGTTGTTTAAGTCAAACATACTACAAGTATACAATAGAAGCGACGGCCCAAAAGAGTGTCAGTGGGTACCGTGTACACTTGCTTTGTGCGTAGAAGCTTACCGGTGTAAATTGATACAAAATTGTAATAATAGCCGCAAAATTGATTATAAGAATGAGTAAAAACTTGTAGGGTTTTTTTGTCAAATCCATCACATGATTTGATCTAGGTAAGCATCCATGAACCCTATGCAAGTCAACAATTGTATGTAATCAGCCTACAGCACCTGAATCAATATTCAGTGTTTGACATTGAAAGAGCTGTTAATTTTTACAGTTGCCTTTATTTTCATTCATGTTAACTAGTTTAAGCTAATAAAGTTTCTCTAATTATTTTGGAATATTTCTGATGTAGACCTAAAGATTGTAATTGAGATGAGAATGATTGGCATCTCTGCACTTTAAGACAATTTTGTTAATAATTTAAGCTTACTTCATATTGTATTATTTATTTCAGCAAACCATTAGTAGTATGGTACCCCACATTCTATTCTCAAGGTCATGGGTACAGACAAATAAATATCTGTTATTACACAAAAAGCACTCAAAAAAGATAATTAAACTTTATACTAGAAGATGCAAAAATTAATCTTAGTGGCTGCCGTACAAAGTCAGCTTTAGTGTGTTGCTGGTACCATGCCCTGAATGCATTGTACCATCTTTCTATGGGTATTTGGTTGATAGTTACCATAATTTGATATTTTTATAATAGTATGTTATTTTTCATAATATTTTTATAACATTTTTATAGATAAATATATTATTTTATTTATTTTTTATATTATTTTTAAAGGTAAATATAATTTTTTTTTTTTCATAATAGTAATATTTTTAACATTATTCTTAAAGATAATATAATTATATTATTTTCATAATAATAATATTAATAATAATATATTTTTTAACAATACTATTTATTTTTAAAGCTAAATATAATTATATTATTTTCATAAATTTCATAATATTTTTTTAATATTATTTTTAAAGCTATTAGAGTATAATTATATTATTTTCATAATATATTTTTAACAATACTATTTTTAAAAATAAATATAACTATATTATTTTTCATAATAATGATATATTTTTAAAGATAGATATAATTACATTTATTTTTCATAATATTTTATAGATAAATATATTATTTTTCATATTGTTTTTTATATTATTTTTAAAGGTACATATAATTATATTTATTTTTTTTCATAATAGTAATAATAATAATATTTTTAACAATATTATTCTTAAAGATAATATAATTATATTATTTTTCATAATAATAATATATTTTTTAACAATACTATTTTTAAAGCTAAAATATAATTACATTATTTTCATAAATTTCATAAATTACACGAAAGACTGATTTCATTGTGTAGCCAATTATGCTATTGTTAATTTTGTAACATTATAAAATTATTGCAACAAACTAATGGGCCAGATTATATTATTTTGATTCTAAATGAAATGGATTCTATAAATTAGTAAAAATGTGGTTTTTTTTCTGCTCCTACTTAGTAGAAATCAGCACCGTAGGTCCGTAGCTCTGTAAATTCAACTCTGTCGTTAAACTTGGTTTCTATACAATTGCTACACGTTATCGCCGACTGCTTTCGGTGATGGTGATTGTTCAGTCAAATCGGGGTGCCTTCCCGATTGCGGCAGGGACTTCTATGCAGTACAAAAATTGCCCTGAAAACATTGTAGTTACAGCGATCTTAAGGAAACCAAGTTTCAAGTACACAGCTACATGAAATAGCATCCTTGTCATATAAGCCTTGTGCTGATTAGATCATTTTATCTTTAAAGTCATTAATCCTTTGTAGTATGCAGGAATCTCATTAAATGTTTTGCGAGAGGCTCTTTAAATCTTTAATAATAATGTCAGCTCATTCTACAGTATGACATTCAGGTGAACTACTACAGTTCGCTGTTTTCATTTCATTTTACGTATTTATGACCAGAACAAACCCTACTGGTCATAACTTTGTATTCCTCCTTAAATGCAAATGTCTGTTATCTACAGCTCTTGGTTAAGCAATATAATGCAAATTAATTCAAATTCTAGGCCGACTTAATTTTCTACTTATATCTATGGGGAAAAAACTGGATCATAGATCAAAAAATAAAACAATTATTTGAATAAATATTTTTGGAATTGAATTGGTATTAAAAATGTACATTCAGTATAGTAAAAACATAAAAATGCACTGATAGTAAATTATAATTTCTAGTCCGATGTTTAATTTTCTATTTAAAACTTTGGTTAAATACTAGACCATAGATTGAGAGACAAAACAATTACTTGAATAACATTTTTGGAATTTAATTGGTATTAAAAATGTAGAGAGTAAAATAAAAATATTTAAATTTACCGTAGTAAACTAATAAAGTTTTCTGAAAAACAAATTTTAAAATGAAAAAAAAAAGATATTTGTTATATTATTTAACTAGCTAAATAAGCCCTACTGTATTGTATAGGCCTACATTTTGTTGTGTGTTAAGTCTCACAGCCGATAGACTTGACTCGAGCAGATTAGGCAATGTAGCTTTTCATAGTACATTGCACACTGATGGATTTTCTTACATCATTTCATCAGGTTTTATAAACTTCTGTGGGAAAGGCAAACACAAGCCCTCCAGTAGGCTAGGTGTTATAAAGAGGCCCTCAACTATTGTGCTAAGTAATCTCTATTATCATTTCCATATCAGTTTATACAGGCTCACACTATATTACAAATAACACAGATAATATATACTGTACCCAACAACTGCTAAACATAGAAATTGTCATCTACAAAAGTGTTTTTGAATGTGTTCAGGATAAAGTGGGGCTAAATCTAAGATATATTATTTTCATGTGTGTATTATGGGATAATGATTTTTATGTGAGGTGCTTAATCCGCGTTTATGTCTATCACTTTGTAACTGGACTTTTTCCCACGGTCTTTTGTAAATATTAGACAATTGTGCAAACTGTATTATGGGAACGTTCGGTCAGTGAAAGAGGAATTGTTTGTTTAGGTAGACAGCTACATTGTTTGTTACCAGATCATACATAAACATCGCAAATAAACTTTGACAGATATTTAACAATGTTGAAAACCAATGAGAATTTGAAAATGAACACTATGTCTACAATATTTCTACATATATTCAAAAGGAAAGAGTCGGGGAATGACACATGTTGTTGGTTTTGTAGGATTATGGATTGCATCATAATGACCTAAAATGTATATATATATATATATATATATATATGTATACTGTCTCTTATACACATCTAGATGTGTATAAGAGACAGCGTGTACATAGATTAAAAAATAAAACAATTATTTGAATATTTTTGGAATTGAATTGGTATTAAAAATGTACATTCAGTATTAGGACATTTCTCAGTTTTTTTAGAGAATAGAGACTATTGTAATATACACTTAATAAATATACAGCCATTACCGGTACCATTTTTACTAAGATATAATTTTTGTATTTGGAATGAGACAAACTAATAGATAGATAGGCCTAGATAGAATTAGCATTTATTTAATATTAATTATTTATGTAAGGTAACTTCCATATTAAGTTGAGATTCATGCTTCTGTGGCACAGAATATAAACATACTGAATTATTCATTCATTGATTGGATGTGATCTCTTGCTGACAGTTGGAATGCACCTCAATTTGCATCAGTTGCAAGTGTGTTTTTTTGTTACTCCCAAATGATCATGTTAACATTGATTTTACTGTATGGTATGAAAATCATGATAAACATATTTAAATTCACTTTTAAGTTAAATGAGCAAGTAATGTTAAAACTGGATTTCATGATTTTTTTGTCACTTTTCAGTGGACAATACATCTTAATAATATAATACCATACCACACCATACCATAATAATAGAAACACATCCTTGTGTTTATATTAAAGGTGGATGACATAATCAGAAATTATTTTGTTTTTGTCTGAATTGTCCTCCCATAATTGACTTGCAATCATCGAGGTGAGGTGTGAACAGGCAACTTAATATAGAGAGGACTGCAGTACAGTCAACATAGCCAGCCATTCAGCCACATAAAAAAAAACTGAAACCTAAGAGATCAGTTAATGATTAATGCTGTTGAAAGGAGAAAGGTTTCTGAAACATAACTTTGATGTTGGCTTTTGGAATTTCAAGTATTCGCTGATTCTTTTCACCAGTTTCTGTAAGCTTCTGTAGCCTTGGTGCAATACATACAAAATGTGATTTATTGTCGTTATTCCCCACTGCAATGAGAAATGTTCTTTCCCATAATGTTATTCTCAGAGATGTTGTAGACAGTAACTGTAGTGTATTGTCTGTCATTTGCCTTTTTTTCTTTTAGTTTCTTTTTAGTGTGGTTTTTTTTTTTGTTTTTTTTTTTGACATTATTCAAAAAGTAGGTTGCTTGCTAGCAACAACCTTAAGGTCAAACAAGGGTCAGAAAATCATTTAATAGATTCAATAAAACACCAAAGACCTGTCACCCTTATTGGTAGTAAAAATTGAATTTATTTAAAGTTAAATTGATTTTTATATTTGAATTTATAATGTTTGATTAAAATATAAGGTAAAAGTAACACAATGTTGCAAAGAAGTTCAAAGCATTTTAAAACTTAGGCTATAACAGCTACAAGGTCTTCGCACAGCATAAATACGTACAGAGCAGCGGAGGATGACAGCGATGTTTGTGAAATATGTTTGCGTCTGTTTTGCACCATTAGGAATTCTTTCAATCATGTCACAATACCCATTTAACTGAATTCTGCACAAGTTAATGTTACTTTTCATTTCTTTTTTTTCAGATTGATTATAGTCTAATTATTGAAGTACGCAACTGGGACGTAGCAACCAATACATGTCGAGAAGGTAACTTATACTTTAAACATGTCAAATGAATAAAATGTTAATTAATTTATGGATAAACTTCTTATTGAGTGCCCATTATGCTTTATTTGGTCGTAATTTTTTAAACTAGTTAAAATTATTTGATTATTTAAGTGTTTGTAAAGGTTAAACACTGACGCTATATATCTTTAATTGTCCCTATTTATGCAATCAGTGATCCATCATTTTTTATGACTTTAGTAAGTATTAAGTTGGATATTTCCAAGAACAAAATATTGTTTAAAAAAAAATTTTACCACGCTAGACTGGTTCATAAGACAGATACAATGTAAACCTACTGTAAAGTTAATTAAAGAATAGGGGATTGTTTGAGTATGGGAATGGTCTGTGTAATAGCGTAATTCACACTGCACCATTTTCTTTTGCAGCTAACTCGCATTAAACATAAAAGGATTTGACTTGGTACTATACTAGGCCTAATGATTAAAAACAATTAGACCACCTTGAAACTCAAGAAAAAAACATGTTTATGTGAGAGTCTACATTTTTTCCTGTGCATCACTGAACAGATTAAAGATGTGTAATCAATATGGCTACAATCACAATTCATCTTCAGTCTTTCAGAATGTTTTTTCAAGTAGCTTGGAATGTAAGAATGATGCGTTGGTCAATAAATAGATCAATATAAGATCCTATGTGAATGGTTGCATTTAATAAGAATAAGAGGTGAAAATGTTGACACACTGTGCATATAAAACAAGTGTAATCTACCTTGAGAAATACAATGTTGAATGAACAACAAACTTTTCAACTACTGTAGTATAATTAAGGACACATATTTTTCTTTTATTCTTTTCTCTAATTGCTTACCGTACTTATTCAAAGAGGAAGGTTTTTGAGGGGGCGTTTATTCAATGGAGGCATTTTTACTCAAATAAACACTCCTAATTTCACTGTAAATGTGGGAACTAAAAACACATATTTACCATCAAAATGTGTTTTGCGTGATCAAAAAAGAGTTAATCATAAGGTCATAAAAAATGTGTTTATACTGGAGTAGAACCTTAATAGAATATGTTGAGGATGATGTTGCTTCCATTAGTTTTGTTTACAGTCATTTGGGTGGTGGGGGAGTTTAATCGAGGACAAAATAAACGCCCCGGTGCGTTTATCCAAGGGAGCGTTTATTCCAAATGAGGTTCTGGAGGGGTGTTTATTCGAGGGAGGGAGTGTTTATTCAAAGAGGGGTGCTTATTCAAATAAATATGGTATTTATTTTTCGGTAGACCGTCTGACCTTAATTTATGTACGGTAATAGAAAAACGGGGAAATCAAATTTGGCTTGTCATTAATAGTTAATGTTATTCCATTTCTATGGAGTACTTATGAGAATCAAAATAAGCTGATAATTCAAATTGTTTAAACTATAACCAAACACATTAATTTACTCAACCTAAGAACATCATGCTTCTCCTCGACCTGCTAACCTCTAGCCTACACAAACTTTAAAGGTCCAGCCGTCCATATGATAACCTCTGTACTACAACGCTTACATACATTTTTGTTTACATGTAACACTGATATGATAACATAATAAAATTTTTAAATGATGGAAATTGCATAAATGATTACAAATTTTTATTAAAAATTATGTAATTATCTTAATAATAATTTCTTGTTAATTGTTATAGTAGATGATTGTAAATGTTCACCTGGTTTTTTTTTGTTTTTTGTTTTTTATAACCTGAATTTATATAGCGCCTATCACAATCCGCAGATTATACATGTCGCTGGCGTCATTATTTCCCTGGTCACTGGATATTGAATTGGCTGACCCACACATTGTGCAACTTTTTCTGCTCCCTGGGGAGTATCCCTGGTAATTGCTGCTTGTATGCACACGACCCATACATTCAATGCCATACCATCCTACCAGATACCCATTTATACTCCTGGGTGGAGAGAGGCAAACATAAGTAAAGTACAGGGGCGTACGGTGAAAAATCTAAGGTGGGTCGAAACAAAAGCGCAGGGGGCAAGCTGAACTTTAGCGAAGCTTTCAGAATTCGCGGGGTGCATTATTTGTGAGTGAAGCGAGCATATTTAAAGGGCACTTTCTTTAAAAGGGGGGGGGGTCGACCACACCAATCGACCACCCCACGGTACGCCCCTGAAGTACCTTGTCCAAGGACACAAGCAGTGCGACGAGCGTCGGTCTCTCAATCTCATGGTCAGAAGTCCAACATCTTATACACTGCGCCACGCGCTCCTACAACAATGATAAGATTGATCTTAATTTTTGGTTTGATAGAAGAAAAAAACTCATTTATTTTTGAATTTCTTTATTAGTCTGCAGAAAGTTAAATTACTGATTTTTTTTTAGATAAAATATTACATTTTACATTTTTCTTGTAGGTCAATCTAGCTTGATTGAACGTTCTTTCTTCCACAATGTTATAAAACCTAACGCATCGTGGTCATCTACCATCAATCATAGAAACGTAAACAACAATGGCATAATGTTTGGCTACAAATTACGAGTCATATGCGATGAATACTATTATGGAGAAGATTGCAATAAGTTCTGTCGCCCTGACAACAACTTCCGACATTTTTCCTGCGATATGTTTGGTAACAAAGTTTGTCATGAAGGCTGGATAGGAAGAAATTGCAATGAAGGTTTGTACTAATATTGTTTGTATCAATTTTATTTTAAATGTTCACAACCCCATGCTTTTATGTGAAGGTAATAAAGATGATTGCAGGATGGTTAAGACAGCAAGGATGATGGTAGCAAAAACAAAAAAGAAAAGCATTGATTGATGCTAAATATTTTAATAACAATGGCAAAGGAACAGCTAAAGGGGTATTTGTAATATCAGTGTCAGGGCTGACTAAAACATTTTATAAGCAACCCCGTTTACACAGACAATGGCACCGGAAAGTCTTGCTGGTACTAAATTCATAGGGTTGTTTTATCTTTTTATTTTTCACTCCACCATCTGATCATCTTCCAATCAAATTCACTATCCAAAAACAGTTAAAATCTGTTAGTATCCATCAGGGAGCCTGTTATCTTGTTTGGTGTTGGGGGTGGGCATAATAGCCTTGTTTACATGGCAGGTGATCACTGTGTTGATCGCGTTTATCCAATGTTATAGTTGTTAAGCGGCCGTGTAAACGGAGTTGGTAACTCTGCAACTCTGCTAACAGATCAGTAACCGTAATGGTCTAAAGAGTTACTGCCACATCGCAGCAGTGTTAACAGAGATTATCAGCATGACCTTTATGCAAATTAGCTGCTGTTTGAACTGTGCGAGTCATCACGGAATTCGCTGTTGATAAACAGCGTGAATAAAATTTATTATTTGCAGAATAGTAGTTAAAAAATATGTTTTTATCGATGAAATACATTTTAAATCTTTTTTGACTAAGGATTTCAAAGCAAGCAGCAAGTGCGCATGTTTTTTCAGGTCAGTTCTAATCATGTGACTTCCTGGTACAATTGATGATTTATTTTATCATTTTTTTTATCGTGCGTAGACGCTTGATTTATCTGATAGCAAATGGCTGTGTAAACATGGCTGATGTATTAGCATTATTCTCACCTGTATGTCCCTCTTCTCTCCTTCCCACAAAGTTATTAAAACCCCTCATTATTTATTCTGTTCAAATGATTTAATGGGGAGAACAGAATTTGAGTGCTAAACCAGGCAATTATTACAAAACTCATTAATTGTAAATAAACAAGATGACAAAAGTTTAAAATTATTGTCTTCCTGTTTGGGTCATATTACTAGAAGTATAGTACAGTAGTAGTTTCCTTGCAGGTCTGTCCTGTAGTTGCCTTTGCGAAACAGTTACTCCTCTGTTACAGTTTGTGTTGGGGTTATTTTATAGGTGAATTTAAGAGTGAATGGAGAAGCTTTAATCATTCTTCAGACATTTCTGATGATTGACTCACTGATACAATTCCCAAGGTCCACATTTATCAAGGATCACTAGTATAGACTTCTTTCCAGGATTCCTTGCCTTGTGTTTAAACATAAGGAAAAGTGATTCTGTGTTGTTGAGTTTTATGTATTTTTGAAGGAAAAACACCTGTTTCTAAAATCCAAATATATAAGCCTACTGTATTAATAGTTCAGTAATTTTTTGAAGAACAAGATCCGAGACCTGTCAGTCACTGACTGAAAGGTGGTATGATTTGGGCTTACTTAAAATTTTGAATAAAAAAACTTTTTCAATAGAGATTTGTTAACTAAAAGTGTGAATTAAATATTTTAATGATGTTTTTAACAATTTATTTTAGCTGTTTGTAAGACTGGCTGTAATCTTCTACGTGCTAACTGTACCAATAGTCCCGGAGAGTGCAGGTAAGTTAATCTGTTTTTATATTTCTCCCCTTCCCCCCGTCCATATATCTTCTTTATCCCCACTTCTAAAAAAATATTTGAGGCAATGCCCCAGTGATACATAATATCATGGAAACTAAAAATTGATGAAATATCGCTATTATTATGAGTCAGTAATATGACTATAATAATAATCTGTCGTCATATATCTTGACACTGAGCGTGCTTTGTGGCTTCAAGATAGTTGGCATACATCAACTATTCATTTTATAATATAAGTGATACTTTGTTCATTGAAGTTGTTTTTATTGCACTTGGGACATTAACCGCAAGTACATAAACGAGTCATGTTTAACATAATGTGACTTTTATAGAATGGATGACAAGTATACATTTACAAATGTTCCATTTTTCATAGAAAGAACAAACTTAGTTCCTCACAACTAAACAATTACTTTTTGATTTGAAAAGTTGGGTAGGCATTCATTCTTATATCTATCCATGCATTCATTTACACATTCATTCATTCCCATATTTATATTTACTCATGATTATTCATGTTTTTGCATGATTATTCATGTTAATATTTGGTTATTCATGATTATCATAAAACATACTTATAAGGGCAGCATTGTCTATTTTTTTGAGTGACTGCGATAAGAATTAAGCAGTGGAAGTTTTGATATAATCTAATTGGAATTCTTTGAAATTATTATTAATTGATTAGGAGACGTTGGACTTCACATACTGTACAAACGGACGTGTATAGCAATGCCCTTTGACAATGCTTAATATGGTGATCAATGATATTGAATATGCTGAGCTATTGTTACTCAACCAAATGCTAATAATAATTGAATATCATTCAATCATTTTGTAATTTTCAACAACATAACCACATCCCTAATTCATTCAAGGATGTTTATATATGTTATTTATTTTTTTATTTGTACTGAGTAATACTTCCTAGGGCGGATGCAAGGGGCGGGGGATGCAGATGGTGCGATTGTATTAAGAAAAATAATTGTATTGTATTGTTGATATATTAATTTATCATGAACATAGTACCGGTAAAATTTTTGAAGTATGAGAGTGCAACTTCCACGCAAGCTAGAGTTCCATGTTCTCAAAATGTTAACACCTCGGTTCCAACCATGTTGGGGCTCAGGTTGTGGGGACATATATATAACAGACGGTGAATCAGTTTAAGTGGTAAAACAGTCCCAAGCGATGAAATATTCCCAAGTGGTATAATTGGTCTCAATTTGATAAAACGGTCCCAACCAAGTGGTTAAAAATGTTCCCAATTGGTAAAGACAGTTTGAGACAAAGCAGAAGAAAACACAAAAGAGAACATACTTATTTGAAATTTATATGCATTTAATTATGATCATAATCATGATGATTGGATTAAATGATCCATGTTATGATTCATTGGATGTTCATCTACCAAGAAATTTCTTTTTTAATTTGAAGAATTAAAGGATTACTAAACTATTGATTAATAGGACATTGTTAATTTTTAGTGAAGTAGTATTTGTGTGTGCATGTATCAAGTACAAGAGATTAGGAACCAGGTACAAGGGGATTAGGAACTAGGTACAAAGAAATTAGGAACCAAGATACAAGGGGATTAATGAACCAAGGACTTTCTTGAAGGATGTCTAACCAACATTCATCCTTGCTAATTCCATTACAAAGATTCTGAATGAATAAGGCATTCTAGAATTAAGTATTTAGAGCAATTATCAAATAAGAATGAAAACAAATAAAGACTTTTTTAGAAAACAAAAATATAGGACAAGATAAGAAATATAAAATGTTTTGTTCACTTGATTACACCCTTATTTGATGCCTGAAGAATTACCAGTAAGTTGGTCTTAAATGTTAGAAAAATATATAGGAAGTTTCAGATTTGGTTTAATCGTAAATGTCATAAATAAAATTATAATGTAACATTAACAGCAATATTCCTACTTGATTCAGTGGGTAAATTTAAAATTATATTATTCACCTTGATTTATTCAGGCCCATAACAGGGATTTTTATGGTTCGCCTGTATCCCCTTTTCAAGTGAGCACCCCCCTGACATACTAAAGCACCTCTTGCCTCATATATTTTTATTAATGGTGATAAAATTCACATTTTATATGCATAAGAATGCAGCTTTGTTTCCTGACCACCACTAGAACTCTTCCTATGGAGCCCATCTTGGGGGTTCAAATACCATCTCCCCCTCCCTCCCCCCTCCTCCCAGTCCCCTGGTTCTTTAAGTTTTATTCCCTCTCTCACTGTACTATTCCAGACACACATAAACAATCTGTAGGGTTCTCCATGTGAGTATACCTTCGACCACTGTGGGAAAGTATGTACAGCTTTAGAATTGTCTTTTTTTTCCCTATTAAATGGCTTTGTTGATTCTAATGTCAGATATAATGATACCTTAATCCTTCTTTGTAATGTCATGTGTTAAAGAAAAACAATTTTAAGTTACTTACCCTTGTGTTATTAATAACCCACAATATACCATTTCTAGTTTATTGCACAAGTTAACTTTAATAATAAATTTAGTATAATGGGCAGCTAGTAGTGATCATTAGAGGGCTTTTATTATCTCGTTCCAGAACCAATCCGCCAAGAAATGTGCATGTTTTTGTGTATGACGTCACCAGTTTAGGCCTAGAAATTGAATGTATTGCAACATTTCAATGATTATATAATACAATGTTGATTAAACCATCACAGTTAATACTGATTGCAAATTCACTTTTACGCAAATTTCTTCTTAAGCAATGTATTTCGTCCTACTGTAAGCTAGGCCCTAGCCATACTGTACATCAGCCGTCGTGCCACTATGGCCCAAATACATGCCGCGGCCGTAGCAACAGGCTGTGCTGCCCCAAGAGTTTTGTTCTCCGTCACTTAATTGACACTGTCAATTCGGACACAACATTTCTAACTTTAGCATCCTTATACTATCCACAAATATCTCTTCATCTCCTGATTGTTCCTGCACTGGCACTCCTCCATCTTGTGTTCTTTTTCATAACTCTATCTTCATACTTAGCTCTTCCTACTTTGCTTTCGACCATATTTCTTTCTTCCCATTCCAACCCTCCTTGTTCCATCCATTCCTCTTCTATCCCTTCCTTTCAAAATTACTTCTTCCACCTTTTTTTGAATTTTCTCTGCTTTATTAATCTTTCGCATCCTTTTCTCTCAGCTCGTTCGCACTTCATCCTTCTCTCTGGTTCCACATCTTTCTCTTTTCTTTTCCCACCCTTTCTATTGAACAACTGTGCATAAAATATTAATGATAACTTTTGATTTAAAGATAGTTCCCCCATTGAACCCTTTTCGCCCTTCCACTTTGCAGCTACTTAAAGACAGTGAAGGCTTACTTGTTGGCAAAAATTAAGTTTCTTTCTTGCCATCGTGACTCGCCTTGCCCTATTCCTTCCTTTCATTCCCTTTTGCACCATTACTTCTTCCATCTTTTTTTCTATTTCCTCTTTATTATTCTCCCATCCATTAGTCTCAGTGCATTCTCACTTCATCCTTCTCTCTGGTTCCACATCTTTCTATTTTTTTTCCCCACTCTTTCTATGGAACAACCATGCATAAAAGAATTTAATATTTAATTACCACAATAACTTTTGTGATACCCAAGACAGTGCCTCCATTAAAAACTTTTCCCCTTCCTCTTGGCAGCTACTTAAAGACAGTGAAGGCTTACTTGTTGGCAAAAATAAGCTGCTACGTGTTAATGGCCCTTTTGTTAAACTTTTGTAATGCTCCGCAGGAAGCGAAGGAGGTTGCACATTTGTGCGTGTTTGTTATATGAATTTATTTGATGACCGGAGTAATTATGTTTGCAAATGATTTGACACAATCTGTGGATGCTAATAAGTACGTTTTCATTAAGTTTACCGTTTGACCTTAACTTTTGGCAAGCCTGACAATATGCAAAATATTTAAAAGATATTTGTTTGTATCTATCTCTGCGAAATAAAATTTTTTTCCTCTATTATTTTCTGTACTGGAAAAAGTGTGCAACCAGTATTCGGGCATCGCACATTTCCCCGGAGAAATTTTGGTGGGGGGAGGGGTCAGTTTTTAAAAGATTTTTTTCCAAGCCTGATTATTCTTTTAAATGAATAAATTGTTTTTGAAATGCGATTTTTACAGATGTGCTCACGGTTGGCAGGGAGAGTTTTGCAACATATGCGTTGTTCATCCAATGTGTGAGAATGCCTGGTGTAGTGCGCCGTTTGAATGTTTTTGCGAACTAGGCTGGGGAGGACGGTATTGCAATCAATGTAAGTAAATTTAAATAACTTTCTGTCTATATATATCAAGTAATGGTAAAAAAAGTGGCGCTTAGTGAAAAAGAAATTATGATCGGTGCAAGACATTTACCAGCTTATATGGTATATGAATAGTTGATTACTTCCGTGTGAAATACACTGTAGATAACGCACGAAAGTCTGAAGACTCGTTTCCAATGGGGTCCGTCTGAAAGTACAGGGGGAAGACGTTCACTACTTTTTTTCAAAGAGTACTGTACTGCGTTCTTTAATATCCACATGAGCCATAGTGCACACCGGACCAATTTTTTTCAGGTAACATCGCAGTCATTGATTGATTATATAATTGTAATTAAAAGTTTCCAACGTAACTAGCAATGATTCACATATTATATTTACAGACAAGCTGAGCAGTTGGCTGAGAGGTATTGTTCCTCACACCCCCCCATTCCCCCACGGCCAGCATTGGGTTTTAATTTCCCTTCCCTTAGCTCCTCGAATAACCCTTATATTGAGAGTTAGATGGGTTAAGAACAATTTTTGTATCCGTATGTATCTGTTATATGTTGTACCTTGGTTGGCACTGCACTGCGGCTGCTGATTACGATTTCCTATTTAATGAGGGCCAATCAATAATTATTATAACATCATATTGAGAAATGGACCGCAAAATTTGGAAATTCAAATGATTATAGTATTGCTGATAGTGTCAATTCTTTGCTATGCAACAACAATCAACTTTATCTCTGGTTGTTGTCAAAAGAATTGCATTCGGTATCTAGGGATCCATAAAGAATAGGTCATTGGATTTGCTCACCTTAGAGGCTTATCCTCTGTTTGCCTTCATAATCTTTGCTTTTCCACATCTCCTAATATGCATCTGATGGTAGAAACAGGTTGCCATAGTAATGTCACAGGTATGTATTAATAGTATCTGTGGTGATGCTAATCTCGTATAAGTCATCCTAAGAAAACAAAATACAGTGGTGGGAAGAATTTACACATGTTGCAATGCGACTGAATTAGGCCCAGCCAATTGCTTGTTCACAGGTACTACACTGAAAATGCCAGGCCTCCCTATGGTCTCTTTCAAGCGAAGGCCAAATGGGGATAGAGGTGGTCTGGCCCTGGGATTCTCATCATATAGATTAAGCAAGCATGCCTGGCCTGTTACCAAATTGCTTTTAATAGAAAGCATGTGGTATGTCTCACTCAGCCTCAGCTAGTTATAGCCAGCGCACCCTAGTTGTCATTATGTTTTGCTATGACTTATGGATATGTGTAGAAGGTTTGATGGCTTGGAATGGAGTGAAGCAATGGGGCTTGACCCGCTAGTCCTGTGATGGATCTAGTATTCAAGTCTTTACCTGTCTGCCATTCAGCTTTTGCTTTCTGGTTCAGAACAATTCAACTGGAGATCAAATAACTAAATCTACCAACGTGTGAAAGTTATTTTTCGAACTAAAAAACATTTTTCGAACTAAAAAATTTAAACTACTATAGAGTTGAGGTGAAAAACACAAGTACATAGGCCTACTTAGTTGTAAGATATTTTTTAGTCATAATTATTACTATATATAGATAAAAGTGAATTTTATTCTGTAATCAATCATTTATTTGAAAACTATAACTGGGTTTAAAACTGTAAATTCTAACTATTGGAAGGATGTCGTTCCGGATGGCGTGGGGTAAGGATATTAGGAATGGGAGTGGATGGAGGCTAGTCAGGATGAGGTGTGGATCACAGCTGCCGAAAAGGATGGTAGCGGTTACCTAAGGATGTTTTTTAAGGAAATCATTTGAGTAAAATATAGTGCATGTTAACACTGTTGATATATCCAGTGTGCTTTCTGTTTTCCACTTTTCCTGCCAATTTCAACTACCGTTTGCTTATTGTACTTGGCAAAAAAAAAACCATATACTTGCGTATTAGATGAAGCTTAAAATAACAAATTACGATGGAAAAACAGGGAGGAGTCTTATACACGCAACATAGAACATATTTTTATTTTTAAAACATAACGTCTTATGTGTGGATTGTCTGTAACAAGTGAATCTACTAACTGTTAGTATGAATGAATGTATTTTTAAATGTGGGAAAACAAGATTTTCGATGAACAGTTAAAACCCATAATTTGGAAGATTGGCCCTACATTTGGCTCTGTTTTTAGCCAGCTGGATGCAGTATCAATACCATAAAAGGCAGCACACCGGAGAAATACCTTATGCGCTCAATCTACAAAAATCATCAAAAAATCTTATGAAATTCAGGGGTCATCGTATACACGGATCATCTTATAAGGCTGTGTATACAGTATAAGGCTGTGTATAACAGTATAAGGCTGTGTATAATAATAATAATTTATTTGTTTAGCGTCTTCGTCTATCTAAGAAAAGTCTCTGACATCTGCCGCTACCAAGTGTAGATAAAAATAAAAAGTACAAAAAAAAATTTACTAAAGCTTGGTAACTCCCTCCTTTGCACCAAAAACATGGCCATGTCTTTCAATAGTAACAATAGTAGTGCAAGTACTTGGAAACTAAAATATTATTGTAATCAATATTTTATTAATGAGATTATTAATCAGTTAATATTAATCATCATGCCATCAAAAGATGACAAATTTAAGGAGTGTCTCAATTGATGATCATTATTGTATATTGTGTTATGAACCTTGAATACCAGGTCCTACAAGTTCCTGTATTTGTAGTAATGTGCTTGGCAGTGCATGATACTACTAAACCTGAAAGACTTACCTGAGGTACACAAGTGCCATACATTTTTTTTTTTTTGGCATTGGTGGGCAACATTCTTTTCAATGTCAGTTATTAACCATTTAAAAAAAACTTCTGAATTAAAAAAATTGCCAAATATACACCAGTATAAAGCAATATCTGTTTTTAAAATTAGATATAGTTTTTATAGTTTAATTTTTTTTTTTTTAACTTTTAGATATTACAAATATATATTATACAAATTAAGATAAGTTCACAATGACTCTGAACCAAAATTTGGACTGGGTTTCCCATGTGTTGCACGCCAGCATCCCCATTATTATTACACACTCATCTGATTTTCTGATCAGACTTTACGATCCAAGAATTTGGATACAGTAAGAATACATCTTTATACAGAGAGTATATTCAAAGTATGTGAATTCTTGATGACTTTTTGAAGAAGCTTTACTTTCAGAGTATTTATTGATTGTTATTGATCAAAGTTTTATGAATGCACTCATCTGGAGCAGATAAACAAGTTGACTTATTTCTAATCAATTATCCAAGGCCTTGAAAATTTGCAATGATGGGAAGTGCTTTGGAACGCATGTTGGGGGGAACGTACTATGCACCCTCCCCAGAGCTACAGCACTTGCTGGGAGGTATTTATACTTATACATTTCTATAGACCTAATGTGATTCTAAAAAATAACCTTTGCATCCATCTATTATAATCCATTACTCAGAATGATACAACCCATATTTTAATTGAAATAATAATGCAAATATAGACTAATAATGGATAAAGTATTTAAATTAAATCAAATAAAATGAATATAAACCCCATACCTTTCTCGGACTTAATGCTGACCACCATAAATGCTTGACTTTATACTGTATGGATATGGAAATTATATTAATTAAATTTAATACACTATTAGTTTAAATAATAGTAATGTAATTACAGTAGAAAATGATATTTTAGACCTACCCAACAGATATCACATCTATTGGGAATATGAAAGAATGTGGGGGGTGGGGGATGGAGTAAAGTACTTCGGACCTACACCCATCCACTACTACATCTAATGTATACTAGGGTGCCAGATGTGAATAACTTGGACCAACCTCTCACCTACCACACCTATAGAGCATCACTATCATTACTTTAATTAAAATCTTGGAAAATGGTACTTTAGGTTTTTCGATGAAAGTCTTATCATCTTGTAATCAAACAGATTGATGAAGAAAACAGGTAAGGTAGATAAACAATTTTTTTATTGTGCTTTTTGTTTTGTTATCGCGATTAATAAGCTTGAATTCACCTGTGCTGGATCTCAAGCAAGTTTGGAAACACTTGTAGCACGTACACTCAACCTGTTGGTTGGTTAAAGCAGATCAGGCCCACTCAAGGCCGTACCATCACAGATGATATACGCAGATTGTCAAGTACTACTTGCCTTTTGTTAAGATTTTCTTGTAGTCCTTATCCAGTGCTTTCATGCCATAGGCTGTGTGATTAATCCCAAGGGGTGTGTTTGTTGTCCCAGGAGGGAAAAGGTAAGATTTAACACCGGAACCGCCTTTGTGATTCTAGTGCCTGTTGATGAATTTTGTGGTATATGGAAGTGTGCCTATCAATTCAACCATGTGTCCTGGCAAAACATTCATTAAAGACAGTATCATATACCAATCTTTTCCTTCAATATTTTTTTTTCCAAATACCTGCAAATGTGAACGAACAATTTGTAGATTTTAAATGAGTATGGATGGATAGAAATTAATTTAGATAAGGTTATAAAATATAAAGAAGTATAAAAAAAAAATTGGAAAATTTATATTATATATTATCTCTTTAATATATTAAGTATTATAATGGTGATAGTACATCAATCTATCCTGTCTTTTTACGCTAAGGACTACGTTATTTTTTTAGTGATTGAAAACATTGGCTGTGGAATTTTAAATGAATGTGGTTAAATAGAAATGAATTTAGATAATGTTATAAAATATAAAAAGTATTTTAAAAAATTGGAAAATTTATATTACTGTATATATGGTCTCTTTAATATATTACTGTATATATTGTCTCTTTAATATATTAAGTATTACAAAGATGATAGTACATCAATTTATCCTGTCTTTTTATGCTAAGGAATACTTTATTTTTTTAGTATTTGAAAACATTGGCTGTGGAACTTTAAACAAATAAAAAATTCAGTGAATAAACTACCACTTTTAAAATTTTAATGAATGCTGAATAAAATTATAAAACATTTTGACAATATCTTTGTTTTGATAATTCAGCGATGCCATGAATATCGGTCATTGTCATTGAGAAGACAGTTCAATATTGAACAATGTTGTGATGTCGGTCAATCCCAATATGAGATGATGGGTCAATATTCAGGCCCATATTTACACATCCCTTCCTGTTTTATTAGCAAATAACTTCAAGGCATACTAAACATCCAAGAAAAGAAAACTAAATATATGTAGTTTTTCTAACTACAACCATACTGATTCAAGTACTATTTTAGAGTAGAGTAAACAAAATTTTCAATTCAGTTTAGAAACAAGTTTAATTGTAGTTGGAAAGATAAATAAAAATGAGTTTTGTAAATAACCCTCCATGCCAACTCAAGAAGTAAAACTAACAAAATTTACCAATTCATTTATTCAAAAACAAATGTTTGTAGTCTGTGTTTTTTTTTTCGTTTTTTTTTTTTTTTCGTTTTATTTTTCATATTGTGATAGAAAATTTAATGACATCTCACAGAGTTATATTAAATGGACATTGGAAATGGGTTTGTTTTTTGTGAACCTTATCTGAGGTAGATATGATTACTAATATTATAAAAGTTCATCAACTTAAAGTGGTTCTAAAAAATAACCTTTTCATCCATCTTTCATAATACATTACTCAGAATGATAAAACCCATGTTTTATGAAGATTACTTTAATTACTTTTACCCCCTCTGAGAATACCTATTGATAGGATAGTGTTTGTATTTATAGGTAAATATAATATCTGGTTTTGCTCTAACCAGAATGATAAGAACTCATGTTTTACTACAGTGATTACATTAATTACTGTTACCCCTTACTTATTATAGGGTGTTATTTGTATTTAGTATGAAATGTTTACAGGTGAATACTTCTTTTAATATAATAATGCATCTTATTCTACAGACTTTCTTTTTTACTATTAATTTTGAGGATAAATGTCCTACTATTTTATTCATTTATAAGTGAGCCTAATTGATATTTCTATAATATAAGGAATACATTATGAGAAGGGTTAAGGCCCAATAAAAAAAATTATTAGTTTATCACCCTCACGCTCATGTCTTTTATGGTACTGGGGAAAAAATTTGTTTTTGAAAAAAAAAATTTTTGAAATTTTTTTAATTTATTTCTTTCATTTATTTTATTATATAGTTAGTAGATATTGCCTTATCTAAATCATGTTTTACTTTGAATATCACTGCACCAGCAAACAACCCAAGGGTGATATTTGACTTTAGCAAAATAAAAATTTAAAAAAAAAAAACCTCCCTCCCTCATCACTTTTCCTGCCCAGATAGGGTGATAAACTAATAATATTTTTTATAGGGCCTAATAGAAGTTTTTATCATAAAGTGAAATGACAATTATGATAATTATTGATTTTAGGATTTCTCATATCAATTCTTTTTTTTTTAATGTATTTAATTTGCAGTTTTTATAACACAAGTTGATAATTGTTTCATGCAAATTCATCTATCTGTATTTTCAACTACTTTTCATTTATGTTTTGTGGTTTTTTTTCAATTTTTAAAATAACAATAACAAGTTTAATGTTGTAACTTATATATTAATATAGAGATTAATGGTTGCTAGGAGGCAATGTAAATCTCTTTCATTTGTAAGATGCTAATTTTTTTTTTATATTTTGAATTTATATAAGTTGTGTATATTATAAGGAAAACAATCTCCACTCAAATGTGGTATACACACATCATATATTAGGCCTACTTAAATATAGTCAAAAAAAGCATTTTATTACAATTGATCAAAACATTTTGTGCACTAATTTTGTGAATATTGCCCTAGGTAAGAAACAAATGACATTTTGAGCAATAATTTTGTGAATATTGCCCTAGGTAAGAAACAAATGACATTAAAATCCTTTGAGAATGTTTTCAGCTGCACCTGTCATAATATATTCATCTCATGATTAATGTGCACATTCTCTTCACAGTCTTGGACCCCTGCGGCTCCGACGAGGAACTGTGTCACAACGGGGGAACTTGCCTTAATAACCAGTCAGTAAGCGATGGCTACGATTGCCATTGTGTCAAAGGATTCTTTGGACCCAGCTGCGAATTTGGTAAGTCTTTCTTAAGCCTTCAATACTCCACAGTAATCCCAGTTTCTAGATGACATTGCCCGAAGCATGCCAGATTTTTTATCCGTCTGCATTTTGATTTTCAAGCTGGATTATGTGGGATTGATCCCGTAAGTTTCCTTTGTATTGCGATGTTTAATAAAAAAAAATTTTTATAGATCTACAGTGGCAGCTTATTTTGTATTTGATTTACCGTTATATTTCAAAAAAAATATCCTATTATTATTATAATTCTAAGCTAATAAATATGATTCCTATTAATGATAACAAGGCAGAGTAATCAAAACTATGAAGATTGTAGTAGTAAGGATGTCAATCGTATTTGATTGACATGTCAGCCAGTGAGGCGATTGGAATGGTTGTTTAAAGGCATTGACTTAAAGATAAGCTTAGAAACAAACAAGAATACAGATTGCATGCCAGGGTTGAATCTTACTATGTGGGTGTATCAGGAACCTGCATAAATGCAAGTATCATTATTTAAATTTAATTGGCTATTAAAAGTATCTAGGCACTAGTTTATATTTTAAATATGAGTAAAATAAAAAAGTACTTCTATCCTTGACCCTTTTTTTTAAGATCATGAAATTAAAATTAAATTTTGACATATTTTACACTTTTATACACATTTAAAGAACTCCATTATATATCTAAACTTCATAATACAGTATAGTTTAATTTTGATGATGTTTATTTTTGAAAATTTAATTTTTCTATGTAGTATTTAAAATTTATTTATTGTATTGTCTCCATATTTATTTTTTATTATTATTTTGGTATTTTTTATTCTCATTTAGGGACCACAGTGGAAATAAGTTGCTTTTTGTGCTTTTCTGTGTTTTTTATCCTTGAATCTTTTTAATATTGATTACTTTTAGAATGAATAAATAAATAAAATTTTTAAAAATTATTATGATAATAAATATAAAGTAAATAAGGTTTATTTTTGTATTCTAGCTACATATAGTTTATCTCATTAAATTGGTTGTACTAAAAATATTATCTCTTATTGCTATAAGTCCCGTAGAAAACTTAATTTGTATCTCATGCCACCTGTCCACTTTTTTTTGCTACGTTATAATTTTTTTTCCACAAATCGATGTTGATGTCATAACAACTTTATATTAAAAAGCTCACAGCCAAAACAAATTGGCCTTCGTCCTGTTAACAAAAGGTTTGAATAGAGAAACAAATTTTTGTTTATTTGGCATGAAATTTACTCAACTAATTTATTTTAATTGTTTATCTATCTATTGTTAAAAATCATACTCTTCATCCCACATGTCTGCGGTTTTCTTACATTTGGTCGAATTGCATAATTGAGAACGTGACCTGAGTTATATTTTGAAGGTGATGCATAATCAAGTTATGAAGTAAAAGTTATGAAAAATTCTCTGGCCATTTATTATGTTGTTGAGTGGTTTGATTTTAGGGGGATATTGCCAGTAGTTTCTCTCTAGATAGAATGAGTCCATTTACGATAAGTGGGTAGGGAAGCATGGTAAGGCATGGAGTTGATTAGCCTATGTTTTGTGTAATATATCTAACAATATAACAAGCTTCTTTTATAGGTTGTTGCCCTTTAGGGTTTCTTGTACTGTAGTCCCTGGAAACACAAAATTGGGCCAATTTTGGAGAAGGAGGGATTATACCCGGGGAATCCCCTTTTCAATCAAAAGGCAATTTTTCAGCACTGAGTGTTTGTAAAAGTCAGCCTACTCATTTCATCTCATAACCTAAAGGCTTTTGCACGAGGAAAATCCGTTGCGTAAAATTGGGCGTAAACTAAGGGGTTCACTTATACCAAAGTGGGATTATACCTGAGAATTTATGTTAAGTGTCCTTCAATAATAATATTTGTGGAAGAAGTGGGATCACCTGTTCTTCAAGGAAGTGAAACTCTAAGGACCATGGTAACGATTGACAACACTAATCACTGTATATTATATATAGCACTGCATATACAGATTGACTGTGAGACTCGCTGATAATTTATCATTTGCCAGGTTTACTGCGGATGAACAAAAATTCACAGATTTCAAGGCTACTCACGGATCAAGATTTTTACACTAATAGATAAATAAATGAAATAATAAATAAAGATTTGCGAACAGCATATATACAGTAATATCCAATAAATATACCATTTGCCATTCATCTGTAGTGTTTAGTGTAGCAAATAGTAAGGCTATAGGAAGTCCAGTACGCTCGCTGGAATCGTCAACAAAGGACGCCCTTTATGCCTGCTGCCGTTGGTATGCTTTTATTACCTAGTAATGCACCGCGCACCGTCACGGTTTCTTCGTTTCATCATCTTAGTTTCTTTGTTTGTTTATTGTTTTCCACATGATAGTAACATCATGAATAAAAGGTACATAAGCCATCTTCAAAAAGACCCGAGTCCGTAAAAAATTGTTTTAGTTTTATACCAAGGCAACTGTCGGGTACAAAGCAACATTCATCCTTAGTTTAGTGTACTGTATGTACATGGTAAAATTTAAATGAGTATAACTTTTTGGTTTTATTAAGTTTGTATACATATATTTGACTTAATTTAGTGTCCAAGATCAATCAAATCAATAGTGAAAATTCCCAGATTGCTCAAGCTTCAATGGGCCTTCGCCCCATGGACCCAAACTGTGGGCCCTAGGCGGCCCCTTGGACCCCAGCCAGTGGTGCGTTGCTATGTTCTCACTGATTTTTTGGGGGGAAAAGTTGGTAATTATGGCACTGTACCCTCCAACTAACTAATGGTACTTTGCCTAAGAACTAGACTAAAAGAAGTTATTGGCCTTAATTAGTATACAAAAATTTAGTTGAAACACTGATAGTAATTCTTCTGTGTTGGTAATATTCTACATACAGTAATAAAAAAAGTATAGTGGAACAATTAATTTATGTAGACTCAAGCATTTTTGAACAGAATTTTTTTAGTGTTTTTTTTTACACTTGGAAGGAGCAGTCATGTTTTAAGTTAAAATCTTTAAAATCTTTTCATGATTGCAAATTTATATCTTTGATGGTATTTACTAATCATTTTTATTTTATTTATTTCTTTACCCTGGGGAGCCTAATCCCAATCTATTGTTACATCATTAAAACTTTCTGTAAATATGTAAAGTTTGTCAGTTCCTTCATCTACAAATCTGTATTGCCAATACGGAATTGAATTGGAAATTTGATTGAAGAAAGAAAATAAGCTATTACAAACAAAATTATTAATACTAGGTCATGACACGACCTTTACCGTCCAACACTTAAACCTCATAATAACACCAAGGTATAAGAATACCAAATTATTATATAATACTTTAATTATCAATAAATGTATACAAAATCACTTCCTGTCTATAATCGGTAGGTCTACCACCATTTGCTGAAAAAGAAATGTTTGTCAGAAGTAATTAACTTAAGTATAATTATAAATATAATGTTCATTGTGCACTTGGATACATATTAAAACAGGTGAAAATGAGGTCACGGTTAGCTTATTAGCGAATTGATTATTGACTGTAATTCATGGTTAAATGATGTCGCCAAACTTGGACGCATCAGTAGTTTCAGTTCTTGGGAAAAAGGGACTCCAAGGATAAAACGTAATTGTTGAAACCTTTAACAATAATGCAACCCACATAATTGTTATAAAATAGGATTTAGAAAAATATTGATAGTTATGAATTATCAATTATATCCTTGAGAAAAACAACCTTTTCATGGTATTATTGAGATAATTCAGTGTGCAATCCAAATGTCAAAAAAATCATAAGGCACTCGGAAATATTGTATTTTTTCAGAACAATTAGTCTAAAATGTACTTACAACTTGGGCGCATCAGTAGTTTCAATTCTTAGGAAAAAGGGACTCCGAGGATAAAACGTAATTGTTGAAACCTTTAACAATAATGCAACCCACATAATTGTTATAAAATAGGATTTAGAAAAATATTGATAGTTATGAATTATCAATTATATCCTTGAGAAAAACAACCTTTTCAGGGTATTATTGAGATAATTCAATGTGCAATCCAAATGTCAAAAAAATCATAAGGCACTCGGAAATATTGTATTTTTCAGAACAATTAGTCTAAAATGTACTTACAACTTGGGCGCATCAGTAGTTTCAATTCTTGGGAAAAAGGGACTCCGAGGATAAAACGTAATTGTTGAAACCTTTAACAATAATGCAACCCACATAATTGTTATAAAATAGGATTTAGAAAAATATTGATAGTTATGAATTATCAATTATATCCTTGAGAAAAACAACCTTTTCAGGGTATTATTGAGATAATTCAATGTGCAATCCAAATGTCAAAAAAATCATAAGGCACTCGGAAATATTGTATTTTTCAGAACAATAGTCTAAAATGTACTTACATTTTTTCAATTTACTGATATCCAAAGTAAATGAAAAAGTAGATAATCAGTATAAAAAACAATAAAATAGAAATGGATTCAATATTTATTTGCATATGTTTATCAAACATTTAGGGAAGCCAAGGCTGGCTGCCTGCCCTATTACCTATAAACCTGCCTCTGTAACATAAAATAGTGTAGTCATATAGTTAAAATTCATTACATTTGAAATCATTCTAAAAAAATATAGAAATGTTTTTCACAAATATGGGATTCATATTTCTATGTTTAATTTTATATAAAGTCTAGTCTGATATTGGTTCCTAATTAAATCAGTGTCTGAGTACCTTTTGATTCTAACTAAAATTATTTGACCCAATTTTTTGGAAACCCAAGGAACAGGAAATGTAGTCTACAGAATCGTGGGATAAATGGCTGTGCCCTGAGGAATTTTTACAAGCGAAAATGTCATGTATATTTTGAAGGACAACTAGAGAGATATAAATATTTGGCACCCAGGGATTTGAACCGGAGACTTCAGACATTCTAAGAAAATTACCTACTGGGTGTTCTAAAGGGCATTTTGGAATTTTTTATGGATTGAAAGGGGAGGACAGACCTTGATTTAAAGGAAAAGAAGGAGAGCTACTGACAGCTCTCAAGATATTGAGGAGAGCTGTTTTTTAGCGACAAAATTTTGTCAACGGCCATTACAGTAATTTTAGCACTATACTGTGACACTGTGACAATTTTCACTTTGAAATCATCAAAGCTATCGCGAAATGGAAAAAAATGTCTGCATAGTAATCATTTATTTAAATTAGTAAATGTACTGAAAGAAAATAAAACAAAAATACTTATTAAAAATAAAATGTGTGGTGACCTTCGACCTAAAGCGTACGTAACACTCAATAGTTATGAACAAACAAACATTGTTACCTAGGCTAGACCTAGCCTCTAGGCCTACGAATAAACCGTGTGTTTAGTGTTTTTATTCATCACTCTACAATGTCATAATAAAGTGTTCAAATAAAACCATGTGTCTAGTGTATTAATTCATCACTTTATACCTTTTATTTAATTAAAGAACATGAAAATATTGTAAGATTACCTATACAACAAAGGTATAACTTGGGAATTCCCCTTCATGCCTATTCTAAACAACAAAGAGCTGTGGTGTTGTCTGGGCCTGCTGAGATGAACTAAAACCATGTGCACTGCACTAAAATTATTAGTGTTTGCAAGTTATTTGTCAGATTTAAGTAACTATTTCAAAATCTATAAGAAAAAAAAAATTTGTTCAGTATTTATAAGTTTAGAACCTCCACTTAATTTTTGTGTGTTCTCTTCATTTTTGCAGCCCAACGTCCATGTGCCACTGACCCTTGTCAGAATGGGGGAACATGCCAAGAAAGTGGGGATGAATTCAATTGCTTCTGTACTCTTGGCTGGGAAGGTGAAACTTGTACTGAAGGTAATTTTTTATGACTGAAAAGTCATTTGTAGAAATGTTTTAAACCTCTTCATATTTATTTAGAAATTTTCATGCATATAGTTTGGTAGTATCTAAATGTGTGTTGATTATATGTTTTTTAACTCTCACTATAGGAAAGCAAAATAATATTATCAACAATAATTTGATAATGATGTTATTCTTATTTAATTTATTTGAGCTGTAGCTTGGTGGTTAAGGTGCTTGCCTTCCAAACCTAGGATCCTGGGTTCAATTCCTGTCAGTGTTGTAGGATTTTTTTTCTCACGACCAAACACAACTCCATTCCCTAAACCTCATATTAAGATTTAGTTTGAGTAAAGTATTGCGTATGTGAGTGTTTGTGTTGTGAAAAGAATTGTCATTTACAAGTAGGACAGTTATATATTTGCTATTGACAATCCTTACAAAATGGCTAGCAAATTAATTATTGTTAATCAATTCTATATATTGTATATATTTTTGTTATGTTTAAACTGTACCACTTTAAAAATCAGTGCAATATACAGTATAGTATAAAGAATAAATAAATAATAATAATAAATATGATAACCAGAATTTATAATAAATCATTGCTATGACATGAAAAAAAAAATCAATCTAATTATCCAAAGAATCAGATTAAACTAAGTGCAATTAAAACATAAAGTTGTAATAAATGTGAAATTAATGATATGAAAAAAAAAATTTTCCACTATTAAAGGTTATACGTTAGTCTGTTCCCATGCTTCGTCTTCATCATATGTAAACAGCTTTGACATTTTAATGTACAAGCTTGGTGTAGGCCAAGTATTTCATACATTCCCATAATGTTCAGTTAAAGGAAACAACAATTACAGGTTCTTGGTAGCATATCAAAATTTGATTAAACTTTGACAAGTGCGATGAGAGGATATTCATATCTAGAAATAGATATGATGAAGTCATACTGTCTGTTAAATCCGCTAATATGAAATGGAACTCATATGGTGCAATCCACTTGATTCATACAATCTTCAAATGGGCCTTTTTTGGATTTGATAACCCAAAATGAATATACTATTGTGCTAAGGTGACAAGTGGCCTCAGGCCACCCAGAGTTTTTCATCCAAAATTCCTTCTGTTAAACCAGATACATTTTTTCTGCGTTATTAGACTGAAATTCATAGAATTATGGGAAAGAAAGCTTATTTCATCTGTCAGGCAAATTGATTAAAAGGCACAAAATGGCAGAATGTTACTCTACACTGGCAGATGGTCTGATGAAACCCTTGTGACAAGTGCGACTATAGGCATGTGAGAATATACATGCTTGTGAATCTCATAATGGAATTACAAAATACAAACTTAAAAAGATAAAGTTGAATTAACACGTGTCTTTTCCTATTTTAAATATTGCAAAAATAAATACACTATTGGTTGGCTGGCCCATCGTATAGGGCATCATTTATGGTTTTTAGCTTGTATGTTAGAGATATGGTGTTGTATTTACAAGAACCCTTATCTCGTTATATTTTAAATTTTCTGCGAATATAGCCCAGACCATTAGCATGACTACTCGCAAATTTGTTTTCAAAAGGTTGCACTTAAACGTAATGTGAAAGAAGAATGAAAACACTGTTAATGAGTTTTTTCCCACAAAAATCTGGTTATTGACACATTGTATGATTGTCTGCAAACTATGTTTTAATGGGTTAGTCTTTTAACGCCAACATAATGTCAATGGCTGCCGAATGTCTGAAATCAGACAGCTACAAGTACCAGTACCAGTAATAGGCTACCTACCCATGCATTACATTTTTTTTTTTTAAGTGCCAAAATATGTCTTTGATGTGCTTGCTCTTCAGCGTATTTTGTGCATGGTATGGTACAGTACACATTAGTTGTCTAATCACAGAGCATTATTAGAAAGATATTGCTGTTTGTGATGAAACTTGGAAAAAATATTTAAACACTTTTGATTAGTTCAGTTTAAACAAAGATTCCAGTGAGATGAGAATCGAAACAATTTTACTCATTCAGACATTTTACTATGAAAATCATTAGACTCATTATCATTCAGTTTATTAGTATATATAAAAAATATAGGAACAATATTTTAATGTTAATCTATTTTTAATCATGGTTTAAATGAATAAATAAATAGAAATATATAAAATATTAGTAAATATGTATAGATATCTGGTCATCTATTGTGTTTAAATTGGCAATGTGCATTGTAATATCTCATGTTATCATTTATACTATCTGCACAATGTGTTTTTGTCCGAGAATAGCTTTCTAAATTATATCATAATATAATTTTTTTTAAAAGAAGGAAAATTTGCAAGTGATTCAGGTGGGAATTGCACCTGCGGCTTCCAAATAACCAGCCTGGGTTCATAACCACTAGACCACCGAGCTTGCGCTTTGTTGATCTTTATATTGCTTATTATAAATGATTACTGTCTACAATTATTGTTGCATCCATCAAGAATTACTTTCATCAGCATTCATCCTTGCTTTCACCTCCATCCATCCATGCTCACACATCCAGCAATCATTATGATACCATGCTTTGACACAGATATGCTAACGCATTAAAACATGATATTCTTCTAGATATCAATGACTGTGCCAACCAGCCATGTGTAAATGGGGGATTGTGTGTTGACCTTGTTAATGGATTCCAGTGCATTTGTCTAGAACAGTGGCAAGGTCCACTGTGTCAGTTAGGTAAGTGATATAATTAAGAACCCTAGTGTATGAACAGTTAAAATGATTTGTACTCCATTAGCTGTAAATTACTCTTGATTGATAAGTACTTTACTGCCCTAAAACAACTTTAACATGTTTGCGGAAACGGAGGCTACGTAAAAACTAAGTATACACCTTTAATTTCATGCTTTATTTGGAGCATGGAAGTCGTCGCACCTGTTACGACAGAGCTGCCTCATCTAATGGAGACCAGTTTATGGGTTTCCATTATTGCTCCTGTGGTGTGTGATGTTCTTTGGCTGAACTGATAAAAAATCTAGGCAATTTTAAGTAATTGGTAACATTTATTATACCTGAAAGTCTCTTAAAATTTCCAGTCTGCACTATAAATCTGTTTGCTTTCAATCAATCAATCAATTGTTCCATTTTTATGGCGTCATTCCAACAGTCACTATGAATGTATTTTATTAAATTTTTTGATAATTATATATAGTTAATTTAGGCCGTAATTTTAACAAGAAACATTTATATTATTTCAGTTGATTAAAATTAACATAATTTTGAAAATACAATAGTATAATTCCATGAGCGCATTGGGTGGGGGTTCGGTACTGATGTAAAGATTGTCTTTCTTCTTCTTTCCTTTCTGTTTGCAGGATCCAACCCAGCAATTACAGGGGCGGATCCAGAGATGTCCAAAAAGGGGGGGCCGAAATTTAGGCCGATCGAGACAACAATATCCTAGGCGAAATTTTAGTGTTTTAGACGCCCGAAAATAACATTTGAGGCGTTCTGGGCTATCATTTTTTTCTTTTTCTTTCTTTTTTTCTTTCTTTTTTCTTTTTTTACCTCCCAAAAGGGGGAACCGGGGCCGGGCTGGCCCCCCCAAAATCCGCCCCTGGATTACATAACATTGTTAGAATATAATTTGAACATTCCAAAAAAAAAAAAGTAAAAAAAAAAAGTAAAAAAGTATATTACCAATATACTGTATTATGGTTTTAAAAGAAATACATTTTGAGCACCAAACTACTGTAATGTTTTATATTAATGGATAGATCCATGCCTATGCTCCTATTTATAGACACATACATTTTATTGTTATGCAATGCTAAAAACTCAACATTTAACCTTTAACAGATAAAAACGAATGCCTCGGTAGTCCTTGTCAAAATGCGTTCACATGTCGTAATGCCCAAGGTGATTACTTCTGCGATTGTCATCCCGGTTGGACAGGAAAAGACTGCGACACAAGTAAGCATGTTACCCATTGCTTCATATCAACTTCCGTTCTATATATGGTCATATCAGCCACATAAAATACAACGAACATTTCAATGTTCAAGGGCAACATATGTTCTTGATTCCATACATTTTCTTTGGAATAATGTTAGCGTGTAATATTGCAAAACAGGATGCGCCTGACTTCTGTTGAATTAGAGGACCTGTAGAGGAATTTAAAAACAAAGCAAAAAAAATATATAGGTCTCCCTCTAATTTAAGACCCCTTCAATTAAATACTACCTCTAATTAAAGACCACCTTTCTGTAGTCCTAAATGGATGTCTATCATTTATTTTTATAAAAATAATTTTTCTAATTAAGACAAGCTGTTAAAGACCATGAAACCCCCGGACCATAAGTGGTATTTAATTGGAGGGAGACCTGTGTAACATATTGGTAATGCATAGTGATGGCTGATATTATCAGATGTATCAGTTTAAAAAAGGAAGAATTGGAAATGATGCTTAAAATGTGGCATAGGTTACTTTATTGAAGTGTAAAAATGTCAATGAACTATCCCCAACAAAATATAGTCGCAAGTTGAATGTAGGTCTTTACTTGATTCTGTTTTTAAAAAATGTTTATTACTGACTGACAGCCAAAATTTGTATATGTTGTATTACAATAATTTAATTCATAAAAAAAAACTCAAGTATAGCAACAAGACATAAGCAGTTAATATTGCTATAAAAAATAAATAGTTGACTGAGAGAAGCTAACCGGAAACAGGCAGACGAGTCACGTTATTATTGCCACCCACGTTTACCGAGAATTATAATATCGAAAATGTTTGTACTGATCTTTGTAATTGCTGTTAATGTCACTAGTCTCCTACTATTTAGGCCATAACAATCATCAGATTTTATATTTAAAGTATTATTGTTAGGGGAGGTGGAGAAAGGTGCAAAACTTCTAATTTTAAATATGTCTGTGTATAAATATTGAACTTGAAATAAATACGATATGACCTGAAACTGCATTCAACAGGGCTTATACAATGCCTAAATTTCAATTTACTTTTGAAGCCAGGCTCGGAGTAAAATAATTTGTTGATATATTGTACAACAGATTTTTCTAAGACACAAAAAGGGTGTTTGACGAAAAAAGATGAAAAGGAGGGTGGTTACTCCTGTGCCGCTTCCACCCCCTCCCCCGCCACCTCAGTTTTTAATTATCCAAAAATCTGTATCTCATGAACTGTTTCCAAGATTTTCATCAAACACCCTTTTTGTGTCTTAGATAAATCAGTTTTCCAACATATCAAAAATATTTTTACCTCTGGAGCCTGACTTTAAAGTAAATCCAACCTGACCAAAGTCATCAGATGAAGGTCAATTCATGACCTTTTTTATAATTACTAAATTGAGAAGATTCTAAATAAATACCATTCTGTAATTCCCTCGGCTCTATGAATCATTCTGTTTTATAGATAATCACCATTATGATGGATCTAACAGCAGTTCTGACTTTTGTTAAAAAATGCTTGGTATCCGATAGTTTATATAATATTGTACTGCTTGTGTATTATAATTACACTTATTTCAAAGTCTATGGGCATATTGGACTCACAGAAGGTCTCAGAAACCACTGTTCATTACAAAATTGTTAGATAATTATAATAGAAAGGGGACCATATATAAGGAAATCTGCATATTCTTCTCCATTATATGTTTTAATTTTTTAATTGTTTATAATTTTGTCTTTTATAATAGATCAGAATGACTGCATTGGGCGTTGTGAAAATGGGGCCACGTGCATGGTAAGGCAAATGTCTAGGCTATGTATTACATCTCAGCATTTGATTTTTCATCTCTTTGTCTTTAAATATTAAAGCATTTTTTTCTGTCGTTTTCTCCACCCACAACCTCCATCAGTGGTGTAATGCTGGGGCCAGGAATTCCACGACTGAGTGGGCCCTTGTGAGCACCAGCGTTATTGCCACAAATTTGTTGGTGGCTCTTCAGTGCCCCTGGGTATTGGGGCCCTGCCTAAACCCCATATATTTTAGACTGGATACTAACATCATTTGAGCATCTGTGAGTTCTGAATCTGCTGTCCACCACTGAGTACCATCATCTCAGGACTTGCCCAAAGGGTGGGGGGTGGTTGAGGTCCCCGACGGGGGGGCTAATTCCCCCGACGAGAGGTCAGATTTCTCCGACGAATGGCGGGGCCATGTTCTACATTAATCACCAGATTTTATTGTACTTATTAAATATATTGTTTTTTGTTTTTGTTATATTTATTTAAATAACATCGTGTTCTAAAAATACATACCATTAATTTAATACCATTGATTCATAGCATCACATTCAAACAATTTACAAACAAAAATTAACATTTATATTTAATAATAATATTGAGTGATTGACAATCCACATGGCAACACATGCAAATAATCTTGCACATTCTCAGCAACTTTCTATAATAGTGGGCCTGGGCCTAGTCTTATTCTCATATGGCGTAGGCCTACTCTCATAGGCTTTGTTTATATGTAATTTGTATGTATTTTCTTGTTGCATTGTATGTGTTATTATCTTGATATTAACTTAGTATATATTTTGTTTTGCAATAAAGATTTAGGTTTTTGTGCCTATGCACGATGAAGGAGATAGTATCTACCATTATAAAAGCTCTGATTAATAATATTCTGACACATGAGTTCAGTAAGACCCATCATCATTCATAAAGTTGACACCATCAATTAAAACTGCCATAATACAAAATAAGTGACCTTAAAATGCCTATAATGCTGCTGACACCATAAATCAACAATAATAACAATAATTTAATGACCTCAAAATCATAGTTGTTTATTCAATAACATATATTCTGTGTAATAATTTTATGGAATGTGTTAAATACATTGTTCTTTGTAGGATCTTGTCAATAGTTTCTTGTGCGTCTGCCCGTCTGGATTCGTCGGAACCGAATGTGAATTGGATGTTGATGAGTGCATTAGTCAACCATGCAAGAACGGTGGAACGTGTGTTGATTTGGTTGATAGCTATCGATGTGACTGTACCCCTGGATACAGTGGTTCTCATTGTCAGGTACACTAACAAAATACTAATTTAAACCAATTAGAGAAGTTATACTTTAAGCTGGTGGAGTCATTGACCAATTAGAGAAGATGTACTTAGAGCTGTTGAAGCCATTTTCAATTAAAGAACTATAGTAGTGTTTGTTATGTTGAGTTTTGGAATTATTATGCCCTTTTATCATCACTAATATTATGTAAAAAAGGAAGTATACCTACAAAAGAACAAATATTTAGACCAGTGAAAGAAGTTGTAACAAAACTATTTGACCTTTATCCAATGAGAGATTGTTTTTTGAAACCTTATTTCTTTTCACCAATGCAAGAAATTCTGATGATTTGCTTTTGGCCAATGAGAGAAGTCTAAATGCATTTATTTTTTAATGATTATTAATGGTGTTTGTTTGCTTGTGTCATCCCAATTTTCATAGTAACAGGGATTACTATCTACAGTACAACTTTAGAAGAATTGTTTTCTAACTTCTGGTTATTCCTATTATTGTTGTTCTTAGCAATCTTCAGTTGTTTGAAAGAATTTTGAATTGATAGTTAACTTGTAGTCAATGCAAATTCAAGAGTAAATACATGTATAATTATCCTCATAATACATTGCATAGTTACATGCTTGAAACTTAATCCGACTAATCCCTGTTAACCCAGAAATGGGATTAGGCAAATTCAACAACAGTATAAATGTCATGTTCCGGTAAGTAATCCTCTTAATCTACAATTAATGCTCTTGATATGTTTTGAACCTTGCAGGTGGATGTTGATCCTTGCCACCCAAATCCCTGTAAGCATGGGGCAATGTGTTATAATCTGGATAGAGACTACTTCTGCGATTGTATTGGTGGTTACCAGGGTAGAAATTGTTCAGAGCCAAGGCAGTTGTGTGAAACCCCAACATGTCAAGGTTAGTCTAGAAGGTTAAGTGTTGTCAATGATGATACTAATAGTTTAGTTTTTTTATTTATTTATTTTTTTTTTTTAATTCCATTTTGAAGGATTATCAATTTATAATTTATATTTTAATTTTAAAATTGAAGAATTATAGCAATGTTTGTTATATTAAGCTTTGGTTTGAATCTTCTCTTTTATCATCACTTGTAATAGGGAATATTCCTACAAAAGAGCAATTTTGACCAATGAGAGAAGTTTTAACAGAACTATTAGACCATTTAACCAACTAATACTGTGAGAAAGCTGTTTGTTGAACTTTATTTATTTTGACTAATCAAAGAAATTCTGATGATAGTGATGTTGATTTTGGCCATTGAACAATTATTTGATCTAAACCAGAGAAATCATTCATTAAAATGTAAATAAATCAACAACATAATCTTATTACTTAGGACATTAACAATTATTTGATCTAAACCAGATAAATCATTCATTAAAGTATAAATAAATCAACAACATAATGATGACTAATAATAATTTTAATTGGAGAATAGCTTCACTAAATTTCATTGATTATATTTTGATGGATTTATCATTGCAAATTTTGATAACCAATGATTGTAATAATAATAAAAATAATAATAATAATAATAATAATAATAATAATAATAATAATAATAATAACGGAACCATATTTGAGAAATTGTCCCATCTAAATTGGTAGAAACAAAAAAACCAAAGTACACAATGAAATTATTAGGGTAATTTTTCTGAAAAGAAAAGGCTGTGTTGATTGCATATATGATAGCATCTTCGAGAGGCCAGTTTTCATATAACATTGGGTTGGACGTGACTATGCTAATAATAAAAATTATGAATATCTTTTCTTTTAGAAAAATTTAAAATAAAATTTTATAAACGTATTTTGTGACTGCTTGGCATTCTCATTACTATCATTTTTTTTCTTGTATTGGCTTCAAGTCGCACGATAAAGTTTGGAAACTACCAGTCAATATGATAGATTATTAGAATGACTGACTGCTATTGTACATTGTCATTTTATTATGTTGTTTTACAGTTATTGATAGCTGTACTATTAGCATTGCATCGAACGCTACATCAGGGACCATGCATGTGATACCATCAAATATATGTGGACTACACGGGCAATGCATCAGCCAAACTAACGGCCGTTTCACGTGTGTTTGCGAGCAGGGATACACCGGTTATTATTGTCATGAAAGTAAGCATAGATTTGTCTACTGTATTAAAAATACATCATTCAATAGCTTGAGCTTTTATAACTATATAAAAAATGTTACATTTTATAAACATAATCCACTACAATATTGTATAATAAATAACTTTATTTGAAATTCATTTTCATTTTATTTATTCTGTTACTTGATACAAAGTACAATATTCAAAAACCAATGACACAAGGCAAGACATTTAAAAATGGAGGTAGACCAGATTGCCAATAGCAAAATTAATCACTTTACATGTGGCTCTCCAACACCCATCTAACAAAATAGATTACAAATGATTAAGTGTACATAAAATTTGTGTAATAAATTACCATAAAAATATATTTTTTAGACAATTAAATTTAAGAAATTCAGATAAAAAATACATTAAAATTTAGTTGCTGTAGAGAGAATTTATAAAAACGAATTCGAAAAATTTAAATTTAAGAAATTCAGTTACAAAATGCTTTAAAATTTAGTTGCTGTACAGAGAATTCATAAAAAAGTATTGTTGAATGAGTGGCACACGCTATGCAGGCATTCACAATAAAACTATAATTAAAAAAAAACAAACACAGACTTATGACGAGACATGTATACATAAACCTAACAAAAATAAGATTAAATATGCAATATAAGTCAATCAGTCTCAGGCTACGTTCAGACTTGAAGATAAGCCAGACTTACGTTGAGCTCGGCTCAAGGTTAAGCCTGGCTTAACTTTGCCGGGCTTTCAGACTAGCAGGATTAGCCAGGCGCGAGTATTTGCATAATGAACCGTAACCAGGAAATGAGTTTCGAAACATTGCGCTCGCTCAAAGAACAAGTAATTGAAATGCCGATTGGTCATTTTTTTACCCGAAGTCAACGCAAGATCCCCCGCAGCAAATTAAAGTCCGGCTTAGAAAAATTAAACACGGTGGCACGCCAGGACTAGTTACCATAGGAACACAGCCTGGCTTGAGATTAGCCACCTAGTTCAGACTGACACGTAGATAAACCCGGTGAGTTGAGCCGGATTTATCCACCTAGTCTGAACTAGGCCTTAAATTGATCATTTGAAAACCATTGAAATATAATTTACATACAAACAATGCCTAACTGATAAAATGCAGTAGGAGGTAAAAAATGTGGGGTAAAACTTGTCTTTAGTTTTTAAAATAAATAAACTCGAATAGAAATTGAAATGGTTTGTAAAAGTTTACAATAAATTTAAGATTCAAAATTATACTATATTGTATACTAAGACTTGACTTGCATTGAACTTAAACTGGAATTACTAATTTAGATGATAAGAAGCTATGACCTTTTAGTTCTATAAGAGTTATGTAATTTTAATGTTGGGGTATTCGTGCATAGAGCTGAGTCAGATGGAATTCCACAGAGTATTCGAAAACTTTTTTTCTTTAAACAAAGAAGTAATTCATATTGTACACGTCAGTCGTCGTCTTTTCATATATATATTTTCAGATATTTGGTTGGTCAACACTTTCTTTTCCCTATTGAAGAGCTGATAAGAAGCCTTTATTGTGTTACTAATACACCAGACAACATGTCTAACCAAGAGTCGATTATTCAACATCTAAATAAAATAATTTCCAATTTCATATAGAAAACTGTATTATTTTTTTCTGAAGAATTGTTTGATAAATAATAAATTAATGCAATTTTCTAATTATTTTTAGACATTAATGATTGCAACTCGAATCCATGTATGAACCATGGCACATGTATGGATGGTGTCAACTCATTCCAATGCTTATGCCGTGAAGGCTGGGAAGGCGAATATTGCCAACATGGTGAGTAAATGCACGGATTTGCTGACATGGTGAATCATTGGCACATTTTGCTGATGAATCACAAAAAAATCATTTAATATTTGCTTGATGTATAAATCTTAAATTTGATTGGTTGGTTTTTTTTTTTTTTGCAGATGTTAATGAGTGTTTGTTGAATCCATGTCAGAACAATGGTACATGTGTTGACCTCCCAGCGGACTTTGCGTGTCTGTGCCAAGCCGGTTGGAAGGGCAAAACATGTAGTTCAAGTAAGTACTCGCAAAAATTAGAAAAAACAAAATTGTAGACAAAATTTTGATGAATAATCAGCAAATGATTAATTTATTATTGAGGATGTGATCCTGTTTCATTTTCTTTCTTTTTTTTTCAAATACAGGACAAAGTCACTGTGAAGTTGTGACATGTTACAATGATGGGACTTGTCACGATAATGGGGACACATTTGAGTGCCTTTGTTCTCAGGGATGGGAAGGATCTATTTGTCATTTGCGTAAGTTTCAGTTCTTCATTTTGCTTCATCCTCACAGTCTTTTATTTTCATAAGTAATTTCAGAATATTGTTTTGCCTTTAATACCTGTTATCTTGTATTACAATGTTCGTTATTATTCTTTTATATATGTTTCTGCAGTATTCTGTGTCCTTTGAGTATGCCAACTACACAAACTTCAAAACCAAATTTCCGAAAAATGTAAACTAAATACAACATGATCAGATTAATAGCAAACTTTTGACAGTTATTAAATTTATGTGTGTATTTTGATTGAGATTCAAGTATTATATATTAATTATTATTTTTAATTATTATTATTTTTAAAATATATTTACAGAAAATTCTAGACTGAATGTTATCACTCACAATCAGATGATTTAGAAAACTTTATTGTAGTATTATTAAATTATTGTGTTTCGTTTTGATTGAGAATCAGAATGGTATATTTATTGCTGCTTTCTGATTGGTCAATTTCAGGCAACGATGACCCCTGTGATAGCAACCCATGTCTGAATTCTGGAACATGTGTGTCACAAGACGCCAGTTACCAATGCATCTGCAAAGAAGGTTACGAGGGTCAGCTGTGCGAATCAAGTAAGTTTCCATACCGCCACAGATTACCCATGATGGCTTTACGTAAACCACAACTTGCAAATATAATCTTAGGTCCTCTTTCTACTAAGCAATGCCAAAATTCCATGTTGTAATTAACATCTTTTTTATTTTGCTGTGTAGTTGTTACTATAGTTTGACAAGGGAATCTTTGGAACTATTTTGTGTTAAATAACTGTGTTGATACATGATAAATACTTTTAGCATACACATGGGCTCTGATTGCTTCTTCCAAAATAGAAGTTAATAAGCTTTAAAAATGCTTTTCGATGCAATAACTCTGCCAGATATTACCCATAATTCCTTTATACAAAAACTAAAATGATCAACCAGATGTTTGAAGTTCTTTCACAATATTTATTTTAAAAATAAGATTTTTTTACGAACGCAATATAAATTTTTACAAGATTCTCAATTAGGACTAAAATTAAAAGTAGACAAACGACAGTAGGCGTCTGTGATGTAACAAAATGACTGCCTTGTAATCATGATGTTAAGTGCATACACTAATAATGATACATTAGCACTAATAACAACACTCTCTTTTGAACAGACGTTAACGACTGCAATCCGCAACCTTGTTATAATAATGGCCGATGTGTTGATGGTCTCAACTGGTTCCGGTGTGAGTGCGCAGATGGATTTGCTGGTCCGGATTGCCGAATAAGTAAGCCTAAATTTCATTTTGAATTTGACAAAGTTAAGAGCAACCAGTTTTACTATATACATTTCCATACACAAAAGTGCTTACTCATCAATAAAAATATTTATCATTTTACTGGTGTTTTTATCAAAATAATTTATGCATAACGTTGATAAATAAGATTTAATATGCCGTGTTTAACAATTTTTTTTTTTTTTTTTTACATTGAGAGGGGTAAGAAAAAAATGCATTTTCTCATTTACAAAATGGGTTATGGAAAGCATATAGGTGGAGGATAAAAAAAAATAAAAATATGTTTTTGAATTTACAGTTTAATAGGGGAACCGATAGGATCTTGCTAAAGATTCTTTTGTCTGCACATTTTTTTTGCACAATTTAAGCATTTCTGAAATTGGATAGATAATATTTTAAATTTACTTAATTACAAGGGAATACATTCAATGATGATTAGTACAAAAAATTTAAATAAGATGTATATTCATCTGAAATTCCAATTTTTTGTTGCAGCCGATACACCAACTGTTTTTGATGGGTTTGTGAAGGAAAAAAGTACAAATATTCTTGCCTGCAATTCCACTCGAATTTTAACTTCAGACCTTATTTTTAATCAATTTTTTTTTAGACTTAGATGACTGTGCTACGAACCCTTGTGCATTTGGCAGCACCTGCATTGATGAAATTGCTTCATTCAGGTGTCATTGTCCCTCTGGTTTGCGTGGGCCCACCTGCAACATAGGTGAGTAAAATGTTTGCATATTCATTATTTTAGTGCAGGAGCATTCTGAGGATTTCTTGGTTAAGACGCAAGATCTTCACCTTGTACTTTGTACCTTGATTTGTGTGTTCATATTATACACTAGGTTGTCCTGTTACTTTAACCCTTGACCTTCACCATCATACAACCAATCACAGCACAGAAAATTCAGGATGCTTTTATTTTGGTATATAATCATAAAAAAATATTATTTTAACCATGTTTAAGAGCCTATAAACAAAATATTATTTGTTTATTATATCACCCTGTCTAAGGCTGGAAAAGTGATGATGGAGGGAGGCTTTTTATTTTTATTTTTTATTTTGCTAAATCCAAATATTACTTGGGTTGTCTGGTGCATTTATATGCAGAGTAAAACATGATTGAAATAATACAAACAATATCTACTAGCTATTTACTAACAAAAATGTAAAAAAAAAAGTTTTTCCAAAAAAAAAAAATTTATTTATTTATTTATTTTTTTTTTGCAATACCATAGAAGACATGCGTGCGAGAGTGATAAACATTAATTTTTTTTTTTTTTTTTGGGGTGGGGGCCCTAAAACATTACTCTGGTTTAGTTTGATTTCCTAAATGTTTCCGTGACATTTTTCTGATATTTTTATTGTCCTGTGTTGTTAAAAGTGGAAATAGTGTATAAATGCCATCAATGATAAAGTCAAGGACAAACTTATTTTGCATTTATCTTGTTTCTCAAAATAAGTAATATTTTGGCTGTATGAAAACTGCCATAATTAGAAACAGAAGAACTTTATGTAGGACATTTAGTCAAAATTTACTTTTAGTTTCTTCTCTGTAATGAACTCCATTAGAACTCAAATTTTTCTTTTCTTCAAAGTACATCCATTAAACAAATCATTTTCGTAAAAAGGGAACATATTCTATAAATTCACAATGACTATAGAGTACCACAGTCATGTTGTCACAACGCCAGACGGCGCCCACTGTCGCCAACCAGACAGTTACCGTTCATTACGCCTGAATGTCTTCGTAGGCTTTCTGGAATAGGCATTTTAAAATCTAATATTTTACCATCAAAATGTACTAAAAACACAGAAGCTCGCATTATATTAGTTACCGAACACACATTTAATCAATTAAAATTTACAAAGAAAAACTAAGAAACAACATCTTAATAATTATGTTAGAAATTAAGATCAATGGTTTGTCGGTGGAGGAAATGGCGTTCGGTTGAACTCATTTTGCAACAATAGCAACGGAGTAGTATCACATGGTATCGTGACGTAACACTGTAGTACTCTATAGTAAATGAAAACTACCCAAGTGTCCCACACTGCATTTAGTTTTGGGAGGGTACTCTAGTGTGGTGTAGGCCATTAGAAGAGGGTGCTAGCGCATTACCAAAAAAAGTGAAAAAAGTATTTAATGATGCTGTACTATGATAATGTATAACTAGGCTGAGTTTGAAAGAGGGCGCTAGCATGTTTACCAACAAATTGTGGAAAAAAAAGTGTATAATGATAATAAGATCATGTATAACTAGGCTGAGTTTTTGAAAGAAAAGCATATTTAAAATATAGTAATACTAATAAAATAATGTTTAAGTATCCTTTCCATACAAATGTGTCTTGCTTTTTTTGAATATCTAAATAATTAAATTTGTTAATTGTCTGATTAGTAATTGGAGTGGGACCAGACCCAGCTCAATCGTGTGTGGTGAATCGGCGAGAGTATGAGCACAGTGCGGAATGGGTAGAAGACTGTAACGCATGCAGTTGCCAAGATGGACAGGTGTCATGTACACAGGTTGGTAAACGGTCTTTCTTCACTTGGAAGATTGTTCATTTATTTAAGAATTTTGTATTTAAACATCTGTTGATAAATTTTTAGTGTTAAGCCTCAATAGCTTGAACTAAAATATGTGGATTTGAAATTAATTTTTTTTTTTTTTTTTGTAGAAATATTTTCAGTGGCAACTGACAGGGGTTATTCTAATAGCACTATACCTTTCATTTTAGCTAATGTAATTACAGATTCCTAATTTCCTTTGGCTCCTAGAGACTTTCAACTCCAGACAAGCATTCATTTGTTTCTGCATATTCATTTGATCAAAGGTCACTTAAATTTTAACTGGGTTAATTTTGCAGACTTTGAATTTAACAGCTGTCTCAGAATCGCTTTGTTTGTTATAAAAATCTTTCTTTCATTTTTTTAAACCCGCAACTGGGAGTTGTCTCATGCAGAAAAAAATATACACAAGAGTGAATGAAACATCACTTATCATCTTGCAAGTGTATTGCAGCCTTCATTATAATTATAGCAAATTTAGTTTATCAAGTCCATTTTTGCATAACAGTATTTGTAATGTTATTTTCATATTCAGTGATTACAAAAAATAAATTTAATATTTCTTACCTTTTAAAGGTTTGGTGTGGCCCCCAGCATTGTGAGGTTGACAACCCTACCAATAGCACCTCAAAAGGTGTAGCCTGCCCTGAAGATGTTATTTGCGAGCCTACAGATGTACAGAATTGTTTCACACCCCCTTGTGGACTCTGGGGTGTGTGTCAGATGACGGGATTACAAGCAACCCCCAGTCCTACTTACAACTGCCAACCAAGTCAAGACTTCCCTTCCTCAGCCAACTGTGGGAGGCTTATTCTTACTTTTGATAAGACAAAACTTCCATCAGTAAGAAAATCTACACAATTTAATTTATTCATTTATAATAATAGTAGTTCTTATTTGTCATCATTCAAATTGAAAATTGAAATTTTGGGCAACTGCAGTGCAGCTCCACTGAACTTAACTACAACATGTAACAGATACATACAGATACAAACATAGTCCTTAACCACTTAACTCTCAATATGAGGGTTATTCGAGGAGAAAAGAAAAGCAATCATACTCCAATAAAATCTCGATGCTGGGCATGTAGATTTATGTTTAACGCAGAAGGAGCAGGGACAACACCTTAAAGCCAACTGCTCATCTCAGACAAAAATTCCCTGGGACATCAAAAGCCACAAAGTCATCAGGACAGAAGAAGTCAGGGCCCAGCAAACATACTACAAGCTCCAGCTGTCTGTTGAAGTCCGCTGTGTGGAGAATAAATTCTATCATTAGTCTTAAAAGTGCTGCTTTAATTTCATATATATTGTTCTATATCAGACTAAGGCTTAGGTGGCTACACTTCTTATTCATCATAAAGCTTAACTACTGTATATATA